AACAGAAAAAATTCTTGATTTTAAATCTTCTTGATTTCCTAAAACCCTTCCAATATTTTGTTTAATATATTTTACTCTAAAAGATTCAAGTATTTCGTCAAATGCAAAAAAATGCCCAGGATGAGTCAAATTAACTGAACATACGTGATCTAAAAGTATTTTTAAACTACCATCACTTTTAACATAAGAAAGAAAGTGAATTGTAGATTGAGCATAATTGCTTCTTCCAATGATTGGAAAAAGTGGCATAAATGCTGCCAAATTTTCTATTTGTATATCATGGTTACTAAACCTAATTCCCAGTTTATATCCAATCCAAAATCCCGTCCAGTAAAAATAAAGATACCAGACTTTTAAAACATTATTTTGCCCATAAAAAATATCTTGTATTGTTATATTTTTATTTTTAACATACAGAGTAATGGCAATTCCAACTGCCATCCAAATTAATTCTAATACACGACAAGTAGCTGGATAATCAACTACCTTTTCTAATTTATCAAAATAAGAAACTCTGAGAACTGCTGCAAGTTTAAAAATCCCATAGTCAGAAAAAATTGCAATTAAAGTTGTATACATACTTTTATTAGTATGTCATGCCCAAGTAAAGGTCGTATTTCTGGATGAGTTTCATATAAAGAAACAAGTCGTCAAAATATAACCTCATCTGCAGCAAGATCAATATGATCTAAACTATCTATATCTACATCATTAAAGTACATTTTTGCTGCATTGTGAACATTTTCATTATTGTAGGGATTATCATCCGGTTCTAATATTACAACATTTGGTGGTGATACATTGCATCCCATATCAGTAATTTTTCTAAGTTCTGTACGCACATTGGTAACATCAAAATTTCTGTTATGACCTTCTATAAGAAGGTAAAATATTTTTTCAAATTGCTGAAGCTAATCTTGTATAAGAGAGGAGATGTCCATTTGAAATTCAAAATTTGTATTACTATCTGTTCTTGAAACAATTTCTGATAAAGGTTTTAGCAAAGTAAATTGAAAAACCATCTTTAGTGTTGCATGTGCTGTTCATCGAATTACATCAAAAATATTGTCATAATAAAATGTTTTTTCCTTAAAGTCAATATTGTCTATAATACATACATTCCATATATTATCACCACGTAAAATCCTTTCATTAGGATTATTTTTCAATCATCTTTCTTTTTCTAATTGCTTTTCATAACGTGCTATATGAGAAACCACATTAGCCATGTATAATATAGCATATAAAGTTGAATGTAACTGTGGCTTTTGGTATAAACTACTCATAATATGTGTCAACCAAATATTAATTCCAGGAAATGTTACTGTAAGTATAATAGAAATTATAAAAGCTAAAATCTTAACTGCTCGTATGTTATTAAATTCTTTATATTCTTATTTTCGTTGCTTTTGTTTTTTTTTATAACTTTTCACTTGTTATATTGAATAAACGTTAAGAATCCTTCAAAGATTTTATGCATTACATTTGGAAAATCACTCTGATATTCATCAAATGTTAATGGTGATTTAAGTTCCTTTTTTTTTCCTTTATTTCAAAACGAGATCTCCAGATTACTAATCCAAGCGTTTTTCTAAACTCATTAGAATGTTTTATAAATAAATCATGATATTGTTCTACATCACATAATTTTTTAATGTTTACTTTTTTTAATCGTAAAGCCATCTTTATTACCATATAGCTGAGAACTTGTCTTTTTTGTAGCGATGCCTGAGATTCATCAAGTTTACATTCCTTTGAAACTTCTGCCTTTCTTTCAAAAAAATTAATAATGGTTTTTGAAAGTTCCTTAAGTAAAATAACTTTAGTTAATTAGTCTGAATTAGTTGCTATATCTTGCACCCATTTTATAGATGCCTGTCGAAACCTCCTCAAAATAATTTCATCATATCCTTTTCTATGTTTTTAATATAGTTTCGACAGTTTTAGCTTTCGTCGTATCGAAAGGGTTTCGTCATATCCCTTATTATGATTTTAATATAGTTTTGTCTAAGTTTCGACTGTTATTAAGGGGTTTCGTCCCTCATCATTAACCCATTTACTAATGAGATCTAGTGATTTGAAAGTATAATTTTTATGATACTCATTACAGGTAAAAGATTTTGCTTCTCTGCCTTTTCGCTAGAAAAAATGACATCCTTCAATTTCAAAATAAGATGAACAAACGTATCGAGATCAGATTGTATAGTTTGAAATTTGACAAAGTTTATTTTCTATAAATACTGGACATTCTTTTAAGCCAGAGCACAGAACTTGCACATTACGTCCTATAACCTTTCAGGAATGATGTTTACAACTACCTCTACTAACAAAATACTTATTATTGCCACAAAAAAGACACTGACGTAGGTGTATCCAGCTCTTATTAATAGAAATGGTACCTTTTAAGCTACGTTTATGAGCGCCATCCTGATCCCAATTAAATGAGATGAGCACACTCCAAGTAAATGTAAAGACCCTTGTCCATTTGCATTGACACATGTTTTTACTGTATTATAATCTAATTCCCATACTCCCATTAATTATTTGATTAGATGATATGCATTATTTGTATATCGCTGTATTATACCATCAACAATGTCAATGATTACACATTGATTTTCTATATTTTCACCATTACCATTTAACTCATAATCAGTATTTTCATTATCATCCACTGATGAGGTCCAAATTGATTCTACCTCTGATTGTATATCAATGTCAGATCTAAACTAATCCACATGTACTTCTTCTTTTTCAAAATCAGTAACCATTGAAGTTGCATATTCCTTTACATAATTCATTGCAAATTCATCAAGGCAAAAGTCATGTGTTTCGTGATTATCATTGTTTTCAGTTGTATTAGTTGTAGGAGTTTCTGGGCAGTTAGAAAAAGTGTCTGCATTGCTATACTCTTCATCATCCAGAATCTCGTACTCTTTGTTAGGGTCATTAAACTTAACATCAGTTTTATCAACATCTTTTTCCTTAAAAATTTGGGATGATTTTTTAGGATTGGTAATTACATAATTCATTTTTTTGTGAATATTGTATATCGAGTATCTTTAGAAATAATATATTTAATGAAGATAAGTATTAAAGGCATAATAAAGGTAATATTTCTATTATTTATAATTACTATATAATTAACAATAATACTTATGGTGTTAAATAGGATACACGTAAACTTGTAAGTTGAAAAAACTTTGATAAAAGTATTGTTTGTATTAAATGTAACTTCAAAATTTTTATTCTAAAGTTAGTTGTGAATTATCGTTATTTATTTTTGACAAATAATTTGTTAACGTTAAAATTTCTTTTTATATCATTAAATGAATTTTATGCATTAGCGGTAAATAATTTGTTTATATTTACATAAAAAAGGTAATAGATATTGATATTGATATGTTGTGAATAATATATTTGACAATGTGAAAAAAAAAAAATAATGAAAAATAACAAAAATCTAGCATATATATTATACAAGCCACTTAGATTGAGATGGACTAAGTTATAGTAGTCTTTTAAACGTATAGTTTTAACAAGCACAAACTACGTGATAAGGCCTTCTGTTTTTATTATTATAATTCATAAAAAAAGATTGTTTGTGGAAAAGAAATGTAAACTTGAACCAGAAAAATGGTTCTCTGTAAATATGAAATGTAAAAATCAAAGGCATCAATCCTTATAGTAAATGCAGTTATTCTCATCAATGGGGGACATATCACATAATTGTTAGTTTCAAACCTAGTTTGTTCTATGTCGATCAATCAATTATAAACCAGTTTATGACTAAGCTTAAATAAACTCACTCTGCGACTTCATTTAATAGTTTCATAACTAACTTTTTATCACGCACTTTTCTTAAAATAATCTTTGCATAATATAATTGCAATCTTTTTTTACTTTATAAAATAAAATCATTATTATAATTGCTAAATAATTAAAAGTATCAAAATAATTCATTATTTTTTTTTACTATTATAAAGAATAAATTCTAAAATTCTAATATTTTTTTTTACTAGAATGATATTTATAATTATAAGCTAAATTTTTTTTTACATTTCATTGTATTACAATTGGTATTAAAATATTTGTATTTAATTAATTTTCTATTTAAAGTATTATTTTATAATAGCTTTTGTAACTGTTACCGTTATCTAACCTGCAATCAAGCAAATTGAAATACTTAACTGATTAAGCAACAACTAAGTTTAATTCAAAAACTCATGTTTATTAAAAGTGTTTTTAAATAAATATAATCTTATAGATCAATGAAAAAGCATCACATACTTTTCTATGTTTTAGTATTCATTCACAATTTAAATTTTCAAGTCAGAATTGAAAACTTAATTGATTTAACAATAAATGACTTTTAATAAAATACTTCAATTTAGAAGAAAGATTCCCTAAATACTTTTTAACAATAAAAAGGTAATAATATTTTCTAGAATAACTTCTCTAATGATTTCTAAATAAATGACGTTTAAAAATTTATTTGCTATGAAGTTACTTATTGTCAACAAATAAGTGGTGATGTTTAAAGATTTATTAAAAAAAAATGACATCTGATATAGTTTTTTTATCTTATCACTAACTTATTAATATTCAATAAGATTTATTGCTCACCTCTAATAAAACTATTAAAGCTATAAAATATAACTATAAAGCTAATTTTTATATAATTAATTTCTTAAATTATTTATAATAAAATTTCTACATTAAATATTAATCTATTGTAAAAAATTATATAATAATTATTTCATATATTTAAAAATATGTATGAAAGCTCTAAATAGTTTAGATTAATCTAAAAATTTTCAATTCAGATCAACTTCAGTTCAGTTTCAAATTATATAAAAATTAATCTGAAAATTTTGGTTGATTTATTTCAATTAAAATGATAAATATCATTTAATAAAATGATTAAAATAAAAAATTGTTTAATTAAAATGATAAAAATATTATTCAAATAAATAATAAAAAAATTATTTAATCAGAATAATAAAAACATTATTTCAAATAAAAGAATAAAAGAATTATTCAATTATAATGATAATAATATTGGTTTAAATGAATAATAAAAGAATAATTCTAAACAAATAATAAAATTATTATTCAATTAAAATAATAATAACGTTATTCAATTAAAATAAAAATAACATCATTCAATTAAAATAATAATATCAGCATTTCAAACGAATAATAAAAAATCATTCAATTAGAATAATAATAATATTATTTCAAATAAATAATAAAAGAATTATCAATTAAAATAATTATAATATTATTTCAAATAAATGATAAAGTATCAATAATAATATAAATATTATTTGAAAATGAATGATAAAAGAATTGTTCAATTAAAATAATAAAATATTATTTTAAATAATAAAAGTATTATTCAATTAGAATGACAATAATATCATTTTAAATAAATGATAAAAGAATTATTCAATTAAAATAATAAAATAATCATTTTAAACAAATAATAATATTATTATTTTAAATAAATGATAAAGAATTATTCAATTAAAATAATAATAATATCATTCTAAATAAACAATAAAAGTATCATTTAATTATAATGATAATAATATTATTCTAAATAAATAATAAAAGAATTGTTTAATTAAAATAATAAAAATATCATTTTAAATAAATAATAAAAATATTGTTTAATTAAAATGATAAATATGTTTTAAATAAATTGAACTTTTGGATTAATTCAAAATTTTTAGTTCAGTTCAGATTTTTATCAATTTATAATTCAATATAAATTCAGATTAGCATTTTTAAAATCAATAATCTGAACTGAACTAAAATGAACTGAAATTTTAGTTCAGATTCAGATTGATTTATAATCTAAATTAAACTGAATAATTTAGAATATTAGTTTATATTGTAGTAAATAATGTTGTTAATTTTCAATAATAACTGCAAAATTAGAATACTAGAATATTAGAATAATTACTAGAATCAAATAGAATAATAAAATTTTAGAATATTAAAAATATTATTAAAATATTAAAATTTAATTTCTATATTTAGAATTTCAGTTTTTAGAAATCTTATTGATTAAATTAATTTGAAATTACAACTAAAAAATTTTTGATTTTAATCTTATTATACAAATATATATAAATTTATTTAATATAAAATGAATAATTATGATAATAAACTTTTAAATATATTTATAAAATTTATTATTTCAGTTCATTAAATATTAATTAATAAAGTAATTGTCTTGTAATTTGTAATAATTATATTAGTAAAAAGAGTTTTAATAAGCAAAAAATATTTGTAATAAAGAAAATATAAAGTATTTAATACTGTTTTAATATTAATAAATATATTATAAATTTATTAAAATTTTAAAAATTTATTTATTAAAAATATTAATTTGTAAAAGAAACTTAAATAGTAAAAAATTAAATTATAAAAAATTATCTGCTGAAAAAAAAAATTAAAGAATAAAATTAAAATATTATTTTTAAAATCTAACTTAAATTATTATTTTACTATTTGTTATTTATACTAAATTTAATATAAAATATATTTAGAAATATAAGAAAAAATTAATGTGAATGATTCTATATCAATATTTTCTCGCTATTCTAATATTTCAAATTTTTTAAATATATCTGCTAATACAAGTAAATCAGATAAATAATAAAACTATCACAATCTCATTTTGTATAAACAAGTATTTAAAATTATATAAACTAAAATATTCGTTCTTAAAAAAAATAAATTTAATGTTTTTTTTATTAAGAATGGTTATATCTAATAATTAAGCATTTTATTAGGTAAAAATAAGAAAACACTTAAATTTTTTAAGTTTATTACATTAATATAAAATTATCATCAAGATAAAAATTATCTTTAAAGATTTTGTAAAAGAATATCAATATAAAATAGAAAATATGGTAAGTAGGAATAATTATATCATTAGATGATTA